CTTGGTCGCCGGACACATCATTCCCCTCACCTCTGAGGAGGGTGCTGGAGTTGCTGTTCCCGACCGGCCATTACGTCCGGGTGACATAGGACCCTAAGAAAATCCGGAGATTAGGGTAAGAGTGCTCATATTGCGCATCTTCTAAAATCCACAAGTGTGCACGTTATCCTTTGCCACTTTTCTAAAATCCACGGAAGTGGTCGGTGGGCACGTTAGGCTTTGCCACCCATCTAAAATTCCACCCAGGTGGTAGGTGTGCACGCTATGCTTTGTCACTTCTCTAAAATCCCACGAAAGTGGTAGGTGCGCACGTTCTTCTTTGCCCACCTCTCTAAAATCCTGTACGGTGAGGGTTACGCGTTTTCGGACTTCGTTCCCTGTTTCGGAGATGGTTAGACCCCGATTTCCTGGGCTCCTCTCAACCAGTGTGTCTCGATCGACGCACTCAGGAGGCACTGCCCCCCTCGATATCAAGGGGTACTAAGAGGGTGTCGTCTGGCGAGCAGGATCCTCTCTGAGGAGTTGAATCCCTCGCTCCATGGGCTGTCCTCGTGGTAATGTTGAGCACTGCTCCCCTTTCAGGAAAGGGTCACCTGGAATGGGAACAGTATTCCTCTCCCGTGGTAGACTATTGGTAGCCTGGGTTCTACTACCAATCTTGTCCCAGTGGGACCTCACACTGTGAGGCTCTAGTAGTGTCCCTTGGCAGCCTAGGCTTCTGGCCGTAGGGAGTAATGTCACTGACAGCCGTCTAAGTCCAGGACAGGGGCAACTCCCATAGCGATATGGTGTAGTTGGTACTTAGTGGCTCGCCATGGTTCTGGCTTGCACTCCCCTCAGCATGGCGGCGTGGGTATACCGTTCCCCATAGCGACCCCTAGAGGACGCAGTTCGAAGTTCCACGAAAGGGAACGTCTCGGGTTACTTATGTAACCATGGTTCCCTGAGGGGAACGAGACATTGCGTCCTCTAGTTTTTGTGCCATGCTGCGGACACAAGCTTCAGACGAAGAAGTGATGATGTGCGCTACCGGGCGCCTATTTTGTACTAGTTGCGACGGTAGTGACGTCATGGCTGTCGCCGGCCAAACAAGTTGGTGTTTTTTCAATGTAGGCTTCAGACACGGGTCACGACGAGGCGTTCCCCATAGCAACCTCTAGAGGATGCAGTGTCTCGTTCCCCTCAGGGAACCATGGTTACATAAGTAACCCGAGACGTTCTTTTTAGCAGCATCATATGACCCCTTTAATTTTCTATTCAGTGGCGGAAATGGGCTTCCATTGATATCACAAATATGCATGTATTTTGCAAGGTGAAATATTTTTTAGGGTACTTTATCTTCCACAAAACATTTGTGAATCTTTCCCTGCTGGATGTTAAAAGGACATTCATCAGATGTTTTGATTTAGAATGCATGTGAATCTGCTCTTTTTATAGTCGTTGGTACATAATAATAAGCTCAAATCCTTTCAAAAGATGTCTTGAGCTTAGGGTTAGGGTTATATTCATACTGTATCTACATCTGAGAATCAGATGGACCCAAACAGATTTCTATTCTCCTCTCTGTGGAGCTGTAGTCCACTCTAATATTTAATATTGATGCTGCTCTGTTTGTTGTTAGGAAGACAAAAAGTTTCAAAAGTTATATTTTTAGGCTGCTCCACCTCAGCGGTCTAACAGCTCAAGAAGGTGGGCTGTTAACAGACTGTTAACTGTGGACTGTTAACCAGCACATCGCTTCAGTTTTTAACAGTGCAAGAGTGTGAGGTAAGATGCAAGTAGCTAAATATTTCATATTTGATATGTTTTATGCAAGGAAAATTAAACAACCAATAATTATATCCTGTGATGTAAACTCTTATATTTACTTCCAATATTTCAACCTGGAATTGTTCTAAAGGGCCATTTTTTTTTACATTTGTAAGGGCAATTTTTTAGAATTACCTTATTGGTTGTATTTGTCTTTAATGTCAAATGCATAAATTTAACCAATTTCTTCAATCAATCAGAATACTTTAAAATTTTACCAATAACATCAATCTGTTATAGCCTAATTGTAATCGCAAAAAATAAATAAAAAAATCAAAATAATAAAATGAGATAAAATAAAAAATAAAACAAAGACAAAAAAAAGACAAAAATAATTGTCAATTATTGCTCGTTATTGTAATTATGATTATTAATGTTGATTTATAGAATACAAATGTAAAACCTTTTTTTTTTGTGGGGAAATGTCACATTATATTATGAACAATCTTGTCAGTCTATGGCATTAGTCCAGTCTAGTGCAAGTTATGCAAAAACTCTTGTTGTAATCAATGAAGCTGCGGAATTAATCTCTTATTTACATTGTATCTGCAATTTGTTGTTTATGACGAGAAAATATGCAAGCGTGCAGAATTCAGTCAGTGAGCGCGCAAGCAAAACACGCTAACTAATCTTAACGCCTGTGATTAGCCATATCAACAGAAACGTGTGTGAATGGTTATAATGCTCAATGTTGCTGCTGCTGCAAAAAAACAAAACATAAGTAATCTGATTCAACGTGTGCAGATTCCGTAATTCCACAAATTGATACTTTTCATTAATTTTCACATTTTACTTTAATCGCGACAGCCATATTAGATTTAGTTTAATTGTACAGGGCCAATTTTTGCCTCTTTATCTTGAATTTGTGGGGCATTTTTGTTTATTTAGGTGGCATTTTGGTTAAAACAGTTCACAAGACATGTCAATCGCAACCGCAAAAAAGAGTAAATTTCATATAGTATGAATGTGTGTAGTATGAATGTAATCTGAATGCATTAAATTTGCCATGCTGTAATTGTCACGTGACCTACCAATGACAGTTGCATCGAGTCACTGCCATTCATAAATCATGTGGAATCATGGGACAGTAAAGTGTCCATCGTATGCATAATTCAGAATCACGCTGGAAGTACCTGTAGTAGGTCATCCGGGTACTTTTTGCCTACTCTTTTATGAGTACTTGAGTGTCTAATGAGTGTCTAATCCTGCTCCTGAAGGGCCACCAGACTTTAGCTCTAGCTCTAATTAAACAACTCAAACAGCTAATCAAGGGCCAAGCCAATCACTAGAAACTTCCAGACATGTGTGTTGGAGCCAGTGTTGGGGAGTAACTAGTTGCATGTAACGGAATCACGTAATTTAATTACAAAATAAATGTAACCGTAATCCGTTACTTATGAAAATGTTATATATTTTCACACACACATCAATCTGTATTTAACCTCAGAATGATCTCAAAGTAAAAAGAGGTGCTGAAGGCATGAAGTCTGAAGATTTTGTGGTGGCTGTTCTTTGAAATTAAATTATTATAAGCTTAATTCAAGTGAAGAAGTATTTTGAAAGTCTGACAGTAATCAGTGAGTCCTACTGTCAGGATAACCCAAGCCTGCTTTAAATGTTTCACAATGATAACAGTTGAAAAGATTCATTAGAGATTTAGAAAATCAGTTACATTACTTTAATAAAGTAATTGAAATAGCTACACTGCTTATTACATTTTAAATAAGGTAACTTGTAATCTGTAACCTAGTACATTTCCAAAGTAACCTTCCCAACACTGTTACTGGAGCTGGAGCTAAAGTCTGCAGGACAGTGACCCTCCATTTGTCTTAATAAGAGAAACACACACACACAAACCGTACCATATAGTGCAAAGTCTGTGATGGGTGAGAGCACTGCAGCACACTTGAGCATGGAGTCCTCAGAGCTGAGCAGAAGGCTGGTGACGTAACCTCCATACACCTGAAACACAAAATACTCAACTCTGGACCTCTGAGATAGCACAACTCTCATTACTAGTTACAGAAGTTTCTAATACAGTCTGTGCTCATTAAAGTGAGGCAGGAATTCAGCCTTTGAACATGCATTCATTAATCCTTTAAAAAAACGACAATCTTTCGAGGAAAGAAATAGGCCGGGGCAAAAACAAAACTATTTAGCCAGAAATGTAGATGGTCTCAATTAGGTTCTTCTTACTGCATAAAACCAATTTGTGATTGCTCTTCTTCAGGACTGAAGTTAGTGAGAGAGGAAGAGTTTAACTGACGTGCCAAAATACAGACAGGCTCTGTGGACTATCTCATCATCAGAAATGCTGTTGAATGGGTCACACTGACAGTGTAGCAGAGTAGCGTTATTTTATAGCATTTCCGAAGCGTTATTTTTTGTATATATCATTCAAATCAGTCAAGTTCCATTTCAGTTAGGATGCAATTTACAAGGATTTGGAACAGAGCTTTAATGCACTTTCTGTGTTCCTATGAATATGAGAGAGGCAAAGAAACATCTGTGTACATAAATGACCCGCTATCTTGTCTGGACAAGTAATAACAGTAAAATACCACAAGTATTTACCTGCCCAAAAGCTCCAATTCTGGTCTTGTCAATATATGGCTCCTGCATCAAAATACTGCAAGACACAAAAACAAAATGTTAATGGTTGACACTCGCTGGACCTTCTCACATGCAGAATAATCAGTGTCGGTTATATCACTGAGTTTCATTGAAGTCAGACCGTGGTATATCTAAATCTGCTATGTGCTCCAATTCTGGTCTTGTCAATATATGGCTCCTGCATCAAAATACTGCAAGACACAAAAACAAAATGTTAATGGTTTGACACTCGCTGGACCTTCTCACATGCAGAATAATCAGTGTCGGTTATATCACTGAGTTTCATTGAAGTCAGACCGTGGTATATCTAAATCTGCTATGCGGTTAAGGAGATGCAGCACATGTGTGTCTGCGCGTGCAGCTGTGTGTTGGCACTGATGGATGTTCACTGTGTGTTGGACGCAGATGGCTCCTCAACTACCTGAGGGCATCCAGCTGGTCTTTCTCCTCGAACATTCCCAGCCTGCGCTGCACCTTATGGAGTAAGTTAGTCCCCTGGAAGCCACTTCCACGACCGTCAAAGTGCACTGCAATCACCCCAAAACTGCTGACCAGCACTGACGTCCAGTCAATGTGGAACTGCTCTGAGACCGACTGACTGCCTGGAGTCCCATCTCTGAGAGAGAGAGCGAGAGAGAGAGAGAGAGAGAGAGAGAGAGAGAGAGAGAGAGAGAGAGAGAGAGAGAGAGAGAGAGTTTTTTTTAGAATGAAAACATATATGTTTAAGTCTTTC